AGACATAGTCTATATATTTTTTAATACATTTGAATAATAAAAATAAACTAAAAATGTATTTTGATCAAACTTGCCTGGGTGGGCCAGGGAGTAATGTGGGCGGGCCAGGGAGTAATGTGGGCGGGCCAGTGCCGCCCTGGCCCATTACTGGCTACGCGCCTGCTTATTAGTCAATAAATACATTTCCTTTTGTAGTTTAAACGGACACAGAGCAGTTATTACTGGTAATTTAAATGTTTTTGCGGGATCTCGCAAAAGTCCATCCCAGCTTTGTGAGATCTCGTCAAGGGGCATGTTTTTTTTCAACAACCGATTATTTTCTCTCTCCAGTATTCAAATCTCACTGGGGCGCTACAATTAATATTCTAAAAGGCGTTAACTCCCACTTCAATGGAAATGAAACTTGTTCTCTTAATCTCGCTTTTGCAGAAAGTAAGAGACAATATTTATTTTGGATATAAATTAACCGGATGCGTCGTAGTCACTCCTGTGTCATTTAAGTAAGACAGACAACGTTTTGTCAGACCGAAAAGGACGTTAACAACAACACACAGAAGTCAGGTTTTACACTAACAGTTTTATTTTGCTGCAATGGCGTAAGTATACTGGTGTAGCGTTTTCTGTCTTGTGTCTTGTATAGGCGACTGTTCAATAATTTCAATAAGAATAACAATACAAAATGAAAAATGTTAGTTTCGTATTAATTGCACCTATAAGATAAACATTTACAGAGAATATCTTTAATGTTTTGACAGAATGTTTTGACTAAGTATAAAAAATGAGAAGTAGATTAATAATTTCCCTCGACATGCAATATTAAGTAGATATAGGCCTATCTGTGAAAAAGCAACTGGATTGTTGAGCCAGTGTTGCACATTACTGAAAATAATAGTGCTTCTCATTTGCTTGAAATGCTGATGTAGGTTGAACCAAGAAGCTTCACTAAAAATGAGACTTCAACTTGAGTATCACTTCAGAACATTAATATAGCAACTATTTGTAGCACTTATGGCCGCATATTTCTGATTTCTTCATGACATGTTACTATAAATACAAAATACCAATCAATACAATCAATACAAAATGATTCTAGATTAACGAAATACATTATGGAAAAAAGAAATACATTATGCAGTCATTATTAAATATAATTACTTACAATTGTATTTAAATTGGACCTGTGAAACTATTTTTAAAAATTAACTAATTGATCTGTCATTAATCACACCTAACATTAAAATTAAGAATCATACATGTTTACACATTGAATCTTTAATGTACAATTTACACAAAGGGGAGTACATGGGTTATTAAGTGTGTGTGTGTGTTTCACTTAACGATGAGGATACATTCTGCAAACATCATAGGACATCATTGTTGTACTTACACACCTTAGACATACTTACACAAACCTAGATGGCATAGCCTACTACACACCTAGGCTAAAGTAAACTCTTTATAAGTAGAAAGAGTACACCCTAAAATAATGATGAATAGTACAGTATGATAAATACACAAATCAGTAACATAGTTATCATTATCAAGTATTATGTACTATACATAATGATACACTGCCTGGCCAAAAAAAGTTTGTCATTTGAATTTATATCCGCACATACTTAAGAGCCAATGACTGGATCATTATTACAGCTCAGAAACGTTATGCAGCAATAAAGTAAAGTCAGCTGAGTACCTGAATCTACTGAATGGCCAGGTTACACCTCCATCCATCATAAATGGATTTTTTCTTCCCTGTTGGCATGGATATAGAATGGCAAGATTCAATGGGTTCCAATTGTCAAAGAGTGGTTCAGGGAGCATGAGGAATCATTTTCATGCGTGACTTGGTCACCAGAGAGTTGTGACCTTAACCTCATTGAAGGTCTTTGGGATGTGATGAAGGAGGCTTTTAAATAACACAAAGATGGGTACTTCAATTCATTGCATGTATGTTTTAAGTAGGGCTCTGAGTTTTGCATTTTTTTAAGTGTTGTTTTCATTCGGCAATATATTCTAGAGATATACATATAACTTTGCATACAGTAGTATTTAGGTTTTTGCACTAGCAATGTAGCCAATGTGGGACTTTTTAAACAAAAAAGAAACGAAAGGTACTGTTAGTTTGTTTTTTGCTAGAAGTAAACAGCAATGTTTGCTTTGGTTTTTAAAGGGATGCATCATAGTTACTCCTGTCTCATGTATTTAAAACCGACAGCATTTTATGAGACTGGATATACCTCAGTGATAAAGTAGCTGGGTTGTTAAACCAGTGCTGCACATTACTGACAATAATACTGTTTCTTGTTTGCTTACAATGCTGCTATAGGTTGAACCAGGAAGATTCACTAAAAATAAAACTTATTCAGCTTCAGTGCCACTTCACCTGGGGTCTCAGGAAAGAGGACACTGATCTCAGTGAATTGCAAAATAGACTTGAAAATGATATCAATTTCAGTTCAGCTGATCAAGCCGGGGCCAAACACTTATTCAGCTTTTTGGCTTTTCTGAAATATTTGCAAGACCAGCCAGAAGAAGCACTCACTAACTTGAAGAAGGCTGAAGACCACATTCGTGAACACAATGAAGAATGTGAGAAGATGCTCATTGTAACATATGGAAACTTTGCATGGCTGTTCTACCACTTGAACGACCATGTAAAATCCATGCATTATCTGGAGAAGCTGGAAGATATAAAGCAGCGATTTCCAACACAGTCTCCTACTGCTTTTCATGCGGAAGTCTACGGAGAGATGGGATGGACCTTCCTCATGTATTCTAGGAAATACAACGAGAAAGCGAAAGAGTGCTTTGAGAAAGCCCTGATAGAGCATCCAGACAATCCTGACTGGAACAGTGGCTATGCTACAGCGCTGTACCGGGTTGAATATGAGAGCAACACAACTGAAGATTCACCAGCTGGTAAACAGCTAAGGCGCGCATTAGAGCTGAGCCCTGAGGATCCTTATATCATGGCGCTTTTGGGTCTAAAACTAGCTGAT